GACAGTGGAAGAGAAGAGCCCAAGCATCACACCTGTGATCCCCTGCAAGTGAAAAATAAATCTTTATTGTGTGGAATCACTGACATATGAGGCAACTCATTAGGAAAGTTAGCTTATTGTAAAAGAATACCATTTATATATATTAAAACACCTAAGTACACAATTATATATACATATTTAAAGATACAAACATATCCAAACACATACTAAAATATTAGAGGGGATGCCTAGGTCAGGAAGAGGAATGAGAAGAGGGGTCAAGGATCAAAAGAAGAAAATAAAGCAATAAAGCAGCTAGTATCAACTGAGAATGAGAGTTCATCATGCTCTAAGGAGAACTTATGACGGAATAAAAATGATAATTTTAAAAGGTGACAAGGAGGAGCACCTGGGTGGCTCAGTTGGTTAAGCATCTGCCTTTGGCTCAGGTCATGGACCCTGGGATCGAGCCCCACATCAGGGTCTCTGCTCAGTGAGGAGCCTGCTTCTCCCTTTCCCTCTGCCTGCCGCTCTCCCTGCTTGTGCTCTGTCAAATAAATAAAATAAAATCTTGGAAAAAATTCAAATTAAAAGGTGACAATGAATCTACCCTTCCCAGAGACAGCCCAGGCTAGTGTGCTGGTAGTGATCTTCTGCCTTGAACACAAAATGGTTCTAGAGAGAAGGCAGTACTGAAGACAAAACCTGCTGGAACCCTCTACCATGTTTACCCGGAAAGTGTCAAGCCTGAAAATTCCCAAGCTGGGAATTTCTCCCTTCAGCTTCAGCTCTCCCTGGTGGTGATGATGCATTCTCCAGACACGGAGCCTGGACCTTCCCACCACCCTTCACTCCAGGCCTAGGGAGGCTAGACAAAACACAGGGGCTCATTCTGGGCCTGGGTGCTTCCATCCGCCTACCCTCCATCTCTGTCTTTGGTAGGCTGAATAATGGCCCTTCCTCCAAAGACGTTCATGTTCTAATCCTCAAAGCCTGTGAATATTTCACCTTTTATGACAAAAGGGACATAGAATACAAGGTTACATTAAGGATCTTGACATGGGGAGAGGATCTTAGATCATCCCAGTGGGCCCAATAAAATCCCAAGCGGATGTAATCACAACACAATCCTCGTAAGAGAAAGGAGAATTAGAAAAAGATGAAAGATTAGAAGCAGAGGTCAGAGAGGAGAGAAGATGCTATCTGCTGCCTTGAAGATGGAGGAAGTGGCCATGAATCAAGGAATGCAAGCAGCTTCTAGAAGCTGGAAGAGGCAAAGAAATGGATTCTCCCCTAGAGTCTCCAAGAGGAATACAGACAGGTCAACACCTTGACTTTAATTGAGCTCAGTGAAACTGATTTGGGACTCCTGACCTCCACAACTGAAAGATACTAAATTTGTGTTCTTTTAAGCCAAGAAGTTTGTGGTCATTCATTA